GGAACGCAAAACAGAATACAAAAATTTCGAAAGTAACCCAATCTTGGATGATCGGCGTAATAGAATGTAGAATTGCACAATAGGATACATAAGTTTACCCTGCCAAATAGAAAATAAAAGAGCAAAGAGCATTTTGCACGAAGTGTTAAAATATGGTGACAATAAATTAGAGAGTGCTTCCAGGGTCCTTGCTTTATAAAGGTCATGAGTATCGGGAAATTCTCTTAATGTTAAGTAAGAACCACGTGCAGGTGAAAGCCCGAGCAGTGCTAGCTACACTGAAAAAGGGTACTCTTTGATCACCAAGTATTAAGAAAGACCATTGTGGACATAATAGATGATCCTGGATGGTCAGTTGGCTACCTCAGCATCTGACATACACTCCAGTAGAAGGGAATAGGCTGAGAGTACCTAGAAGCTAAGTGCAAGAAATAGATCATGAACTAGTTTCTTCTGCAACTGAGTTGAGCTATTTCCGAAACCACGTTGTCCTAGCAATCTCACTACTCTCATGTCACAGGCATAGTTGTGGGTGATGATGGTAGGAAACTGCTTCCTGTGACCCACATCTTACTGATCAAGGATACCCTGACTCCAGCCAATAACTTTCCTCTTACACTTCCAACCCTCGAGATACTCGCTTATCAAGGAGTAGTAGCCATCCAGGTCAAGCACCTGTCTAACATGTGGGTGCAGGCCTGCACTGGTAAGAGGGTGCTTGACACAATCATCGTGTGGACAATGCAACCTCATTTGCCGTAGTTTCCTTGGCATCCTTAGTAGGAGGCGCCATGTAAAGAACGTGTTTACAGTGGGATGCTCATGCACCCTTAACGACGGCTGGGGTGGATACCACCAAAACTTGTTTACCATTGACATGTCAAGCTCTGCTTTATCTTTACTGGAAGACTGTTCAAAAATTCCCTTAGAAACCCAGATGTGGTCTTCTTTGGGTAGGCTCTTTTTCTATCCTCAGGCAAGGGGTGTTCTGTGTATGAAATTGATTTTCTTATAAGTGTATTATTATTATTATCTTTTATTTTATTTATTCTTGTTTTTATGATTATGACGATGATTATTATTACTATTATCATTAGTTCTTATTATTTATTATCACTGTCATTATTATTATTACTAGCTATTATATTTATCATATTTGGCCATATTTATATTTCAGTACATCATAAATAACTTTTCATTGCATGATTAATATAAACTACTAGGGAGAAAGAGAGGGAGAAATTTTAGAAATATGTTGGAGATAATTCTTTTAAAGACATCGGTTTTAGAATATTTACCTTTAGATGCACCAACTTGTTTCTCCTCTGTTTGAGGTTTTGGAGTAGTTTTTGGAAGAACAGGTAAACTATATATGGCATTAGCTGCAGACAACAACAGTTCATCGGGAACACTGTTCGTGTCCTCTGGGATTCTCAGTTGCATGTTAGTGGGAACTGTTGCCTTTACGGACTTAAAATATTCCGCAAAGGAATCCTCATTTACTGACAAGGGTGAACTCGTAGCTGTCTCACTGGACATGCTGTTCACAATCCATGCTGAGTATCCAAGACCATTTTCTAAGAGTCATTTGAAAGTCTTACCCCTGAATCTGCCAAACTGAAGTTCAAATTGGCAAAGAAGATCGGTTCAATTGCTCAGATTTCCACCAAGTCTTCTTACCTCACCTGGCTTCTTTGAAATGTAAGACTGATCTGCAGTCTGGGGAGTTTTAACACTTGCAAGTAGTTGCTGGTAGTGGGGATTTCCTTTGTATTTCTGGAATTACCCAGCTACAAAAGGGACTGGGCATAAAATTTCTGCAAAGGCAGAGGGGATTCCTTATATTACGCTGTTGAACAAGATTTGATTTGAGTCTGTGAAGGTCAAAACGAACAAAGACACTTTCAAGCCACAGTAACACTGAAAAAACAACGGTTTACTTGCTCCTTAAAGTCAGTAGATTGTTGAAGAGAAAAAAAAGTGAACAATATTATTAAAAAATACTTACATTCTTTACAGAGAAGCTCACTTATCACTAGTAGGCTATTTTCACGCCATTGACGTCTTTTAATTCTAGTTATCAGAATTCCTTTTGTTTTTGCTTTCTTACTTTAATGGAGGAAGGTAACAAAGGTCAATGAATCAAAAGAATCAATTAACACAATAACACAGGGACCTGTCTGATTCTGCTTGGCAGTTATAAAGTCTAGAATTCGTATTCAAACGATGTCATAATGCACCTGTCGTGTTTACAAGTAAAAGGACAAGACGCTGAAAAAATTGATGTGTAACTATACAACAAAATAATCACCCCACATTAAAGAATGCCCTGTAAATTTAAAGAATACTAAAAGACTCTTCGTAAGATAATTAATTTGCAAATGATGGTACTATCAGAACAATTGTGGTTAGTATCAATATTTTGATATCGTAAGGTGTAAATATGGAAATACTGAGATTTTACATTTGACTCAATGCTGATCAATTGGCAGGGTTTTAATTACAATCTATTTAATGGTGAGCCATTTCCTTAGAAATTGGCAACTGGTTATGGTAGTGTGAACATAACTATTGATTGCTCATTTTTTCTATCCTTCTGACTTTTTAAACATTAAGAGGCCCCAGTTCTCGGCCCGTACTTTTTTAGTGGCACTGCGGCGCTTTTTTCTTTCTGTAACTTTGGGTGCTAGCAGGAATTGATACTGCAGGTACTGCAATTGCAACAGGGGTTGCGGTTACAGGCCTGGATGGGCTCAGGACCATCCCATTTGCTGAAGGCAACTGAGGTAATTTGGGTAATACTGAAGGCTTGGTTACCTTTCTTACAGATGCTTGGCCTGCTGTGTTGACTGGCAGATCGAAGGTATGTTTCTCTTGGTTGACACCTGTGTTAAGGGACTCTAGACGCTCTCTCGGCTGTGGCAATGTAGTATTAGTGGATGCCACTGGAGAAGGTAGAGTAATACCTTGTTTGAGGACATCCTCCTCCTGTTTTCTTGAACGCTTGTTGTACCTGAAAGGCAATCATGAATACTGACCTCAAGAACTCAATTAGAAACTCCCAGACTGAAAAATGTAGTACTTATTTTCGATTGTGTTCTGATGAATTGTGAATGAATTTTTTTTTTTTTTTCATAAGATTATGTTTTGTTGAAATTGTTCATATAAGGGAATAAATGTCTTCAAGGTTTGTTATTGTAAGTTACCACTGAATCAACGTCCTTTGGTTTATTTCAGCAAGTTGAATGCCAGTCTGCTGCATTACGTAGGCATTATTAAGTACAGCTTCTCTGATTTTCTTGTTCGAATTTCTGATCAGTGTCCACCGCAATGTCATGTTGCCACCTCTTCGTACTGGTGAGGGGAAAATGTAAGGTAAGCTTTATAATCACTGCTTCCATGTATCGGTTGCAGTCAGGCCATGAAGCTGGTCCACTGTTCTGCCTCAAGAAACATCTCTTTGTGCTACTTGCACCAGGAATTACTGTGGATTTCTTAGCAGCTTTAAACCTCGCCTGTGTGAGTAGTGGCTGGTGTCGTGGATTAAAGGCAATGGGTTTTCTGTCATACTCGCTCATGTTCTTCCAAAGTGCCACCAGCTGAGAAGCTTCTTGGTTTGATAAAGCTCCATTGCAATCCCTCAAGTTTACAAGAAAGTCGGCTAATGCAGTTACCCTGTCATAGCCAGGGATGTTTCTTGGGTCCTCTCCAGAACCTCCTGTTGGCTCTGTCACAGTTTCAGGAACAGGGTGGTCACCAGGGTAGGCCACAGTAGGATCTTCAGAGTCTGTGGTCACATCCTGTAGACCAAGCGGATAAAACTTTAGTCAATTCAAAACCCCTAATTGTGATTGGATAGATCAATCATCTAGCTTTTTAGGTTTCGAATTTGGTGATTCCACTGTAAGGAATTTAAGACAATTCTTAATGAACAACTAGTCTGAGCAGGTAGATAAGTATCATGTATTAATTTTTTTATTACTATTTTCTATTTTCACTTTTATTAGAGCTTATGTCTGATTTATGGATTAAATAAGGTGTGGTGTAAAATTCCTTAGTGTATTCAAGTGGTATGTAATGATACTAACCTGAAACCCTTCATCTTCATCATCTCCATCTGGAACCTGCAGAGATGGTTCATTGTCCTCGTCAGAGCTGGCTTTCTGTAGCACTTGACCAGTCTGAGCATACAAGTACTCCACACCTATGAGCTCTCCTGTGGGGAAAAACCATATACAATACGTAGATATAAACTTTTATATTAACTTAAATAATTTGAATATGTGATAATTTTTAATATAAATAAGACACTTTGACCTTTAGCACTCCCTCCTTTTGTAAATTCCAATAACCTGTCCTGGGATGTGAATATTATTGGGAATCTCACAGTAAAAAAATAAATGGAATATTTTGCAATTACCTGTATACTTATTTGGTCCTCTGAAGTCTCCAAACAGCTTTTTCCCTAGCACAGTTTCACTTAGTTTATTCACAGCAGAAGTCAGTGCAGAGTCATAAATTATGTGAGGGCTGAATTAGCTTGCGTAACTGCTGCCACTTCTCTGTCTCGGTTCCATCTTGCCAAACCTTCCAGCAAGAAGGCATGAAAGTGCAGATCATTTGCACTAGTACCTTAATTGAAGAAAATAGAAGAATGATATAGATAGTAATGATGACATTAACAAATTTTAATATTAATGATAAAAACAAAAAATAATTAAGGGGAAATATTTTGTGCATATAATTGTTTTTCTGTCAACTTTTTATTGTGACTGATTTATTAATATACTGATTATTATATTTTAGGTATATTTTTTATTATTAGTATTAAACGCATGTTTAAAAGTAATTATCTCTAATGTCATAGAAAAAATAAACAAATAACAAACCAGGAATAAAGAAGTCAAGATGGTTGTGAAAGGACTCCAGTGATGTTGAGCCTCTGGAGCAGCGATAGACCGGAAGATCTCTACCACCCTTCACTATGGTGCCAGTTTTAGTGTACAGCTGAACACCCTCTGGATCTTGAATGCATGCAATGTTCTTCTGCCGCAACTCCCATATGGTCCATATGTGGTCACAGTCAAGCAGTGGCACACCTAAGGTGTCATTCTCCTGTGACCCAGGGAATGCCTCAAGCAAGTTGGAAATGAGGATGGTGGTCACTTGTATTCTGCGTGTTTTACGCCTGACGTGGAGGGACAGCTCCTTTTTTGTGATATGTTTCATGATGTCCTCATCCAATGGGTTTTGGACACTGGACTTGACAAGTTGGGCAGCCTTTGCTCTTTTCAGAAGGTTGAGATCCTCACCACTCCACTCAAAAATGCACTGTGACAGTCCAGCCATAAAGGTACCATAGAGTGGATGTGAATCTGTAGTGCACCCTGCTTCAAAATGGTGCATGAAGTACCATGCATCAAGGTGCACATTGAGTTCCTGCCAGGTTGTGAAGAGAGAGCTGACCTTTTTCTCACCACAGCAGTCACGATCTGTATATAGAAGTACTGACGGGGGAACGCCAGCCACCTCATAGCGACGGATGATCCCAGTTGCCATTGGGCGAAGCCCACTTCCCTCACTTGCTGTTAAGATGCTGTTAAGAACTTGGCCAAATTCATTTCCAATGTTGGTGACCCAAGCAGCTGCTCCAGCAGCAGCACCAGCAAGCTTTTTAGTAACCTACTACAAAGTTGAAAAAAATAACAGATACAGTAATTATAACAATTATTGCTTGAGCAGCAAGAGAAATATTTTTGAGCTGGGCAGTTGGGGGAGGGGGGGGTGTACTATCTGGGGTACTTGATTTGTCTTATTTCTGATATTTTGGTGTTTCCTTTACAAACAAAAGATTACTATCAATATAAAATTTACCTGTTTATAATATTTTACCTTTGTGGAATCAGTCTTCAGTACTACATTACCCTGCCAAATGTTGACGTGATATAAGCCTTCACTTCCTCAAGCCATGACAGCACATCCCTGCAGTAAACTGTAAGAAGCCAGCCTGCTTTTGGAAGGGCAGGAAGAGATGGTGCCTCATCAAACTTTGTGGCCAGAACCAGTTGTTGTTTGCTAGCCTCCATGAATGTCTGACAACCTGTCTAATAATGGGCAGTATATTGTAGCCATTGTTCTTTATGTTGTTCCGTCAGCTTCTTCTGCAACTGAGTTGAGCTATTTCTGAAACAATGTTGTTTTAGCAATCTCACTACTATCATGTCACAGGCACAGCTGTAGGTGATGACGATAGGAAACTGCTTCCTTTGACCCACATCTAACTGATCAAGGAAACCCTGACTCCAGCTAATACTGTATTTATTCTAATAAGCGCCCAACCTCGAATTAGCACCCACCTCGAATAAGCGCCCATACTAAAGGCAGAAAAAGTTAATAAGCGCCCAACCTCAAATAAGCCCCCACTCCCTCCTCTTCCCAATCAAACTCAAATAAGCGCTCACCCCCACCCCACCCACTTGAGTGAATAAAATGTAATAAAAGACTTCCCCGAGGACTGAGTTTTCTTCAAAGTATTTTAGAGAAACCTTGCTTTGTTACTTCTTCGCGTTTTGTTATTAGCTTTTATTGTTTTGTTGCAAAATAAACATATTTCACTTGCTGAAAATAGTGAAAATTTAATAAGCGCCCAGCCTCGAAAAAGCGCCCACCCTCAAGGTCCAAAACTTTAATAAGCGCCCAGGGCGGTTAATCGAATAAATACGGTAACTTTCCTCTTGCAATTGCCGCACTCAAGATGCTTGGTTACCAAGAAGTAGTTGTCATCCAGGTCAAGCACCTGTTTAACATGTGGGTACAGGCGTGCACTGGTAAGAGGGTGCTTAACACAATCATCGTGTGGACAATGCAACCTCATTTGCCATAGTTTCCTTGGCATCCAAAGTAGGAGGGGCCGTGTAAAGTACATGTTTACAGTGGGATGCTGATGCACCCTTAACGACGGCTGGGGTGGATACCACTAAAGCTAATCTACCTTTGACATGTCAAGCGCTGCTTTGTCTTTAATGGTAGACTGTTTAAAAAGTGCCTTGGAAACCCATGTGATCTTCTTTGGGTTGGCTCTTTTTCCATCCCTCAGGCAAGGGGTAATCTGTGTATGAAATTGATTTTCTTATAAGTCTATTATTATTATTATTGTTGTTACTATTATAAAACTCTCTTTTTTATAGTAACCCGAACGAGTAACTACTGTTTTTAACTTAGCCTCTCCAGCTGCGGGAGCCGAGAGATGAAGAGAGACAATGATACTGAGTGCACTGTTGACACACTTTTTTTTTTCATTTGAGGTGATCAATCAACGTCTTTGCTGACTGAAGCGCGACAGGACAGACTATTTTGAGCGCTCGAGCTGCGAGGTTGTCTCATTGTGGTAGGAAGGCACTGAGAATGGAGTTGTCAGGTTCGAGCAAGTCACGTTCCTTGCCTCGAATACTTTCTGGATTTAGAAAAGTTGTATTTTTCTGGTCTCAATATAAATAACACGTAAAAACAGATAGTTTTGCACGTACCTACAGAGGAAATTCCCCGAAACATGGTCCCATTTCCTTCGAAAGTCAGAATAGAGTCACCTGGCCGCCATTTTGGAAAGCACTTCAGCAATTAACGCGGTAAATTCAGTAAATTCAAAGGGTGTGAGGTAATTTTCAGCAAATACTTGAGCAATTACTTGAGCAAGGTCGCTCAGCATTAGATTCCAGTCTACTCGCAGATTTTAACGAAAAAAGGCGGGAAAAGGAGCACGGTTAAGGTTGGAGATGCGTTTTTTGGCTGCTCTACATGATTTTTTTTCCCAACAACTTCGGCTCAACCGCTCTGACGATTCGACACAACTATAGCCTAACAGCAGCGTAGCTGTTCCTGTTTAATCAAAAATCGCCCAAATCTATCATAAATGGCACTAATTTGTGGACTATGATGATTTCATTTCTAACAGTTTTTCCACCCACAAGACGTGAAAAAAGCCAACAAAAAAACGACTTTTCTCACTCCTGACTTGCTACTCTGAGTAGCAATGCTTCTGCGCATGACTGTTAAGTAATAAAGAAGGTCATTGATTGGTTATTGACATTAAGATTAGCTTACCACATGGATGCATTGTTAGGTCCTTCCAGTAATATAAAGGTCACGCAAACAAGACTACAGACGTGTTACTTCGGTAGCACATATACTAAAATTGGAACGATACAGAGAAGATTAGCATGGCCCCTGCGCAAAAAGTGTCAGCCAATCTTCCCGCTGGAGAAAAAGAAAAAAATAAAGAAAAAAATGAGAAAAAATAAACAATAAAAGAGGAAAAATATGCCAAAACTATAGGAAAATGTCTTTACAACTTACGCCAAACAAAATAAAAGACAACGAACTAACATAGAGCAGAACGAGTAGGTATAAAATAATGTACACACAGTTATCTTTATTTGCCCGTGAAACACTTATTCCAACAAAATAACTGACAACAATGTCATGCTCTAAATGTTGTAACGTTTCAAGACAGGCAAAAGATGGGGTTGAAATTAAATAAGACGAAGTGTGCCAGTAAGGTGTTGCGGGCCCAGATCCTGAAAAGCTGCAGTTGTTGATTAGACTTTCAGGTTGTGTTATCATAACTGGATCTTCGAGCAAAGACTTAACAACATTTTATAAGCTTCAGTTACATAGTCCCAGAGAAGAAAACTTTGCCGAGAATCTAGCCTAACCTTGAGTTAACTTAACCGTGTTTCGATGAACTGGGGCCTGTGGAATATGCACTCAATGACAACCCCTTTTCAGGAACGTCTTATTCATGCCGGTGTATTATTCACTCCTTTTTCTTTTTAGGAGGATTTTCTTTGTTTCGCGCCTCCAACCAAGTCTCTTTATTTGGATATTTTTTTCCTTCAACGGAAGGACAAAACGTTTCGACCCCCATTTCCCCAGTATACTTCCCATGCCCATAATCCACTATTTTTGGAAGTTTACAATGTTTACACGTGTTGAATGTCGCTTTTCGAACATAAGTTCGCCTTTCTTTCTCTTGCGAAGTTGACACTGCTTCGGCTGCCCTCTTCCTCTGGTTGTACAATGTAGATTTAGGCACTGTTTTCGGGTCGGGGCTATTGTACACAACAGGTCGTTGTTGCTGCGTCTCGTTAGGGAGTGGTATGTAAAGGTGCCTTTCACTAGGAGTATTCTGAACTATATTATACTGGAATGGGGGTGCTTGGCTCTCTATGGGCTTTGGCAGGAGTTTTCTGGCTTGGGGAAGAGGTTCGCTTGCTTCCATGGCTGCCAGTGTTGTCAGGGTCTGTTTCAGTATCTTCTCCTCCATAGTCTTTTGGCTCTTATTCCACCTATGTATATGGAGACAATAGATGAAAACTATATACTAGAGTGCAGTTTTCTTAAGTATTAACTAACAGTGCAACAGCCTAACAGAACGCACCATGCAAGGAGAGTTGTTTGGTTGAGCTTGTACAGCTGAATGTTGGTCTTCTGCATGATGCGGTCGTGGTGTGTCACGAGAGTTCTTATATGATGGTACTTGTCCAAGATAACTTTCCACCTGGAGAAACTTTTGCCTTGCCGCTTTTGCGAGGAGCTGTATACTGCCTCTAGCTTTGAACAGATGGCCTCAACAAGTTGGCTGGCATCTACAGAAGTAGCCGGTCCGGAATTTCCTCCAACCATTGCTCTGGGGAGTCAAACAATTATCTAAGTCAAATTCACAGGCAGCGAAAAAATCAATTATTTTGTATAAGTTTATATGTTAATATTGATTTTACCTCGACGAGCTTTGATGTATATCCTCTTGGTAATGTCCTCGGTTAACCAGTTTACGGCATTACAATAACATTCTTATTTCTATGAATCTTACCTTCTAAGGCTAACAAGCGCTGGTGTAATAGTTTGGGTGTGGGTTGTTGCTGGCTTCATCTGCATAAAATGGCCAGTGTGCTCCGCATGCTTCTTATATCGTGGAGGATACAAAACTCTCGATTGCTGAAATGCAGTAGGAAGCTTCTCCCAGAGTGCAACAATTTTATCATCTATTGATTCTGTAATGACGGTGGCATCCTTCAACAGGAATAACTCATGTGCAAGTACTTGAATGTCCTTACATCCTAACAGTCCCCGGGGACCTATTGCTTCCTATTAAAACTCATAGTAACACAGTTTAAACTTATGAAAATCTGTGTAAGAAAGGGACATGGACACTGTCAAACACAAGGATTTGATCTATGAAATCGCGTTGTGAGCTTTTAAAAAAGT